GCAACAAATAGCAGAATGTGGAGAGTTTAACATTACTACAAAATGCACCATGTGCATATTTCAAATGAGACAACAAAAATAGATTCTCTTGGAAAAGCCGATCTCTAATGCCCCCTTAGAAAGCCTAATTTAATTTTGAAAGAAAGTCACACAATTTCCAGATTCAGCCCTCTCATCTGTGTAATGGGGACATTTGATTGGAACATCATAGCAGTTCTTGGGAATACTGGCTATGAAACAGAATATTTCAATATTCATAAAGACCTTATTTACACAAAATAATAATACTCAAGAAATGAAGTGCATGAAACATAAGCAAATCTGTCCAGAAATTTCTACTATAGATGATGTTATTTTCCTAGGGAAAAAAGCAGTCCTTTCAGGGTGACTAATAAGCAATCATATCTATCACCATTAGAAGGGTTGATTGTATATATAGAAGTCATCCATTATTACTGCTGAGAAATGTGTATGTTACACACACAAGCCTACACACACTGTCATACACCCACACACACTCTAAAGATTTCAGAGAAATCTCCATCAAAATATGCCTTCCATTTAATTTTATGTAAGATTGAAAAATGTGAGTGAAGCACATTACTTATGTTCTGTATAAAAGAATGATTCATTATTATTTTCTTCAACCATAACTCAATAGTTGGTGAAGTATTTAATCTTAACCTAAAGAAAACTAGAATAAGAGCCAGGGAGCTTAGCTGGGTAAACTTAGGAAGTCATTTAATCTCTCTTTCAGGTCTGCCTACCTCACAGAGTTGCTTCACAGATGAAACATTGATAGAAAAGTTCTTTGGAAAAGTAAAGTAACATAAATTCAAGATAGTGTTTCTTTTGTTGTTACTCCATGAAAGTGAACCATTAGAAATCTGATGCCAAACGTAGGCATACACTCAGCCATAAAACATAGCCTTTTGAAACATTCACTCTGGATAAAACATCTTTTGTTTTTTCGCTAGTATCATATACTATACTGCACATTAAACAGGATACACTGAGCTCTGTAACGTAGGATGTTAAATGCTATAAAAATAAATTTTAGACTATTGGCCTGTTTAAGGAGTACATTTCTAACTTCTCCAGACTACATTAAAACACAACACAATTCCTTGTAACTTACAAGTGATTGGTTAATTTTCATATATTCAGTGTGTAAGAAAAGTGTCCCTTCCCATCCCTGCCTCACTGTTGCTTCCAGATCTCTATAGCACTAAACTGTAAGCTAGTCATGGGCAGGAGTTTTTGTTGAATGATTCACCTCCTATACCCAATAACTATAATAATGTTACTTAGCATGTGTTAGCTAAAAGAAAGGTCAATTTTACTTGTCTAAATTTTAGGTGTGAGTTTATTCATTCATTTAGTCATTCATTTAATAAACATAAACCAAGTGCGTATTATGTATCCATTTTGATAACTCTGAGGGTTTTAAAAAAGGAGAAACAGGCAAGCAAATAAGTTCTCATAGATATGCTTTAAAATAGCCTTCTACAAAATGTTATGAAAATATAGAAATAAAATAACTTAATTCCATCTGGGGAAGCCAGAAGTCTCTTGAGTAGATGACAAATTGAATCTCGGATAATCAATAAGAATTTTGTTGAAGAAAATAATTGGGTATTAATGGAGGTAATAATATTATTGAGAAACAATTTTTATGGAACCCTGGCATATCTGCATGTTTTATTAGCAAGGCACTGATTGCCTTTCTTTGAGAATATGTTTTCAAGAATGTTTGTCTAGCAAACAGCCATAGAAAGAGAAATAGTATCTCCCTCTAAGGTAAAGGGCATGTATGTCTACAGCCCATTATGAAATTCTGAGGTTCCCCAAGTGCAGCTCCTGCAGTGTGACCCACTGCATGTGCTGGTGTTACCTGGTCCTCCTCTAGTTTCTCGTTTTTAAATGGGTTGTCTTTCATACGTGTTGACTATGTGTGATTTGAGAGCCCTCTCTTAGTGATCTTTAGTCTCTTCCTAAGCATTACTATCTCTGTATTGACTTTTTTTTTTCTAATGAGCTTAGATATGCACAAACAATGCCTAGTAGGCAAATCCAACTAAATGTTATACAAGCATGTAGAATTCAATAATTCAAAAATAAGCTAATTATCTCCCCACCAGAACATACCTCTCCCCAGATATTCCCCACTACATGCTGGTCCTTACCTTCTTCTTATATATAATTGGACTGTTTATTACTGGTTCTACTTTGGCATATCCCAGCCCCAGCCCAATGCATGACATATGGACTGTGCTCAATAATTACTTGTTGATCACATTGGATGATTTCTTCTGTCACTTCTGTCACTGGCTTAATTCAGATAGTCTCAAAAGATTAAATAGTAACATTAGATTCAAAAACAATATCAAGTGAACACATATTCTGCTTTGATTGAAATGGCCATAATTGTTAATGATCTGTAATTTAATTTATTCAGATTACTTGTTAATAATGCCAGCTACACACATTGATGCAAAGAAAGGTCTTCAGTTCTTCAACTGTATTTAGGAGGCATATGGTTAGTACCTTAAAAAACATTAAGTACCTTTTTTTTTCTTTTTTTGGCAAATATTGTCATTGAGGAAAAGAGAACTCTTCTTCCATGTATGTGCCAAGCTAACTGTTGTTGAAATGCAGTTTCAAGAAACAATCAGTGCTAATAAGACCATATGGCTTAAGATTGCCTAGTTTTGTTTTTGTTTCATTCCTGCCAACTAAAGACTAGAAATAAGAAGAAGGAGGAGTGAGCTTTTCTTAGTCACCTTCCCATGTCATACCTTTTATTTATTGTTCAGTTGAAATTATAGACACTTTGTAAATTAGGCATGATTTCATTTTGTCATCCAAATGGAGTCTAAAGCTGAGGAACCCCAGGCCTTCCTCTCATCCCTCCACTCTCTCAAGTTAACTTCATGCATCACAACCTGCACAGAAAATGCAGAAAAGAAAATTCTTTTTCTTCTAGATTGCTTTTTTTGCTTATTGAATTGACTAATTTCATGGAAATTGTGGAGAGTGGTCTGTAAACATTGTAAAGGGGACCATTTAGATTCTCTTGCTGAGAGCTCAGAATGCTGATAAAACCTGTAACAGCTCTGGGCCCTAAAAATGGCCTTTTAATATTTTTTGTTCCAGAGACTTGAATTTGGTTCTGCATTCAAAACATCCACCTTGCCCATATATGCTGTAATTTTTACAAGGACAGAGTGTGACAATATAAACTGGTTGGCTTGGATTCATCATTCCTGATAAAAGACAAAAACAAGCAAACAAAAACCTCTGAAGTACAGATTCTGTGGTTCCTGGCTGATTCTGTCAACTATCCACTTAAAGAACTTGATGATGGGTTACCCAAACTTAACTTGGCTCAGAGGTACCAAGAGATTATGTTGGTACAGTCTGAAAAGATGGAGTATGCTTCTGACTTTAACTGCAATATACAATTTCAAAGGCTCTTTCATTTTCCCCCTGTTTTAAATAACAGCCTTCTAAATGGGCATATTTAGAAGGCAAATATATCTTCTAAACTAGATCCATAGTACCTAGTGTAGGGGCAGAGGTTTCAGAAACCAGACCATTTACCATCTCAGATTTTAGCAAAAGGTAGAACAAGGGGTTGCTACATTTGGCTGGAGCTAGGCTGCTCCCAGCGGGTTATTGTGGTATAGGTTCCACTAGGGGTGGGTCTGTCTTCCAGGGAGCAACACTTAGGTGGTAACTGTGCTGTGTGACCTAGAGAAAAAGTAAGCAGCACATTGTCTTTTCTAGCCTCAGTTTTCTGGGCCCAATTCCCAAAATCAAATTCATGTTCAAGTTCAAAGTATAGAGGGTGGCATCCTGTATACCTCTTCATGGAAGTAGAAGTAGTCTTTTAACTTAAAGAGGTATTTATTTATTTATTTATTTAGACAGGGTCTTATTGTGTCACCCAGGCTGGAATGCAGTGGCACAATCACTGCTCACTGCAGCCTTGATCTCTTGGACTCAAGTAATCTTCCCACCTCAGACTCTCAAGTAGAGTAGCTGGGACTACAGGATACACCACCACCATGCCTGGCTAATTTTTGTATTTTTTTTTTTTAAAGAGAGATGAGATTTGACTATATTGCCCAGGCTGGTCTCAAACTCCTGGGCTCAAGCAATCCATATGCCTTGGCCTTCCAAAATGCTGGGATTACAGGCGTGAGCCACTACACCCAGTTTAAGATGTAATTAAGAGAAATTAAGATGTAAATATCTATCTATCTGTCTATCTATCTATCTATCTATCTATCTATCTAAATCTATCTTTCTGTGTGTGTGTGTGTGTGTGTGTGTGTGTATATATATATATTTTTTTTTTTTTGAGACGGAGTTTCGCACTGTTGCCTGGGCTAGAGTGCAATGGCGCAACCTCAGTTCACTGCAACCTCTGCCTCCTGGGTTCAAGTGACTCTTCTGCCTCAGTCTCCCAAATAGCTGGGATTATAGGTGCCTGCCACCTTCCCCAGTTAATTTATTGTATTTTTAGTAGAGACAGGGTTACACTATGTTGGCTAGGCTGGTCTCAAACTCCTGACCTCATGATCTGCCCACCTCAGTCTCCCAATGTGCTGGGATTACAGGCGTGAGCCACCGTGCCTGGCCAAGATGTAATTTTTAAATGAACTCTAACAGTAGTTAGTTTATCGTCATACACAGACTCACCCAACAGATTTGCTCTTTAGGTCTGAGTAAATCAATTATTCTTCAATTATATTTTATAAATTAATCTTTTGAATTTTAATCATAACTAGACTAAATATCATTTGGTTATAAGGAAAAAATACTTCATGTTGCCAGTAATATAAATAGTGCATTTTCATATCATTTTATTGATTTTTCACTATTTTAATTCTCTAGGGTAAGAGTATAACAAAGTGCAGTTGTTTAACTTTTCAAATAAGCAAGTGTAGCAATCTAAAAGTTATGTTTTCTTGTTCTTACGTTTTGCATTTCAGGAAACATCCCAGTTATCTGGACTCCCTGAGTTTGTTAAAATAGTAGAAGTTGGGCCTAGGGATGGATTGCAGAATGAAAAGGTAGTTTTATATCATTTACTTCAAATGCTGTCTAAATATTAATAGATTTAAGATTGTAAAGATTTACATGGATTTCACATGTTACACGATTATATATCTTTTCTCAATTGCTACTTGAATGTATAAATTACAAATAATACTCATTTTGACTTAGGAAGTAATTTTCTATTTGTGCTTCGGTAGACCCTATATAATTTACTTATAAAATATTTTTTGTTTTCATAGGTTATAGTTCCTACAGATATAAAAATTGAATTTATCAATCGACTTTCCCAAACTGGCTTGTCTGTAATAGAAGTGACTAGCTTTGTGTCTTCCAGATGGGTACCACAGGTATGTAAACCCACAATTTCTTAATTAGATCCTAATTCAACCTCACCAAAAATTATTTGGTAAATACTGTGATATTAACTTGATATCATTACTAATTTTTCATATTCTTACAAAATATTAGCTTGTGGACTGTTTTATGATTAAATAAAAACCCTTTGATGAAGTCCTAAAAGTTACTTAGAACTTTATACTAAACCTGTGTGAGTATGGTTCAATATAATGAATAGAGGACAAGGCTGTTAAATAGCATTTTAGGGGGTCTGCCCTCTCTTTATCATTTTATGACTGACTTTCTAAATAATCTGAACATCTCCAAATGCATTAGTCATTTTGTCTGTTAGAGGCAAATGATGATAAGTAGCCTGATAGCTTCCTTCTAGAATCCCATATTAAAGAGTGAGAAATGGAGACACGTACTCCTTTTACTTTGCTTTTTTTGACACTTGTATTTGCTAGAGGGATACATCATCAAATACATCATTGAAGATAAAGCAGAAAGTCATCTGGAATTTTGCCTTGAAAGATGACAAGATGAGAGAGCTTTTTCTAGGGTTTTCAGGCATATGGCAGCAGTCATCACTTCTGAGACTTGACTCTGATCTTTGAAAATCAGCACCAGTAAAACACTCTCTCTTCCTATTCCAGTGTCTGTTCTCAGTCCTTGGATCCCTTAATTTCTCCACAGCACTTGGTTTCACTGACTACTCCTGATATCATTTCCTTGGTTTCCATTATTCTCTATTCTAATGAATCAGTTATTTCCCCAATTGCTCTTTCTCTGTCATCTCTGACATCTTTCATGACCTCTTAGTTGAAGGTTCCCCTAAGATTCTGTTTTCAGTGCTTTTCTCTGCCTATCTTCTTTTCTTTGGCTCTCTTTCCAACACCAACAGTCACAAAATCAAATTTGTTGTCCATCCTGCTTTATGCCAGGAGTGCAACTCTTTCCTTCAAAATCCTGGATTTTAAGAGCTGACTTTGTATCCTGTTACTGTCGTATTCAGTTAGGGATACTGTAACAGAATAGCATAGACTGTGTGACTTAAACAGCAGGAGAATTATTTCTCACAGTTATGGAGGCTGGGAAGTCCAACATTTAGGTGCTGGCAGATCCGGTGTCTGGTAAACACCTACTTCCTTATTTGCAGATGGCCATCTTCTCATTCTATCTTCATATGGTGGAGAGCAGAGACAGGGAGCACACCCATGTCTCTCCTTATCATGTTACTAATGCCATTTATGAGGGCTCCACTCCCATCACCTAGTTATCTCCCAAAGACCCTTCCTTTTAATACCATCACATTACAGGTTAGGATTTCAACATAGGAATTTTGAGGAGGTGCAAACATTCAGTCCATAACAGTTACTGATGTATGAAATGTCTTCTTCTTCAATATGGCCTATACTTGTGTCTTCTTTTCAGTCCCATTGATATGTTGGTGATCCAGACCCTCATTAAGTAATCATTGCAGTAGTCGCTTAAATGGTATTTATAAGCACTGTTTCTCCATTCGTTATACTTTCCTTGTAAAATAATCTTCCAGAATTATCAGCTTTCACAGTCCCTTCCTTCCTCCCTTCCTTCCTTCTTTCCTTCCTTCCTTCCTTCCTTCCTTCCTTCCTTCCTTCCTTCCTTCCTTTCTTCCTTCCTTCCTTTCTTCCTCCCTCCCTTCCTTTCCTCCTTCCTTTCCTCCTCCTCCGCCTCCTCCTTCTCCTTCTTTCTTTCTTTTCTTTTCTTTCTTCTTTCTTTCTTTCTTTCTTTCTTTCACTTCTGGGTTGCAAGTGCAGGTTTGTTACTCAGGTAAACAAACATCTGTCATGGGATTTTGTTGTACAGATTATTTCATCACTTAGGTCTTAAGCCTAGTATCCTTTAGTTATTTTTCCTTATCCTCTCCTCCTCCCACCTTCAACTCTTCGATAGGCTCCAGTGTGTGTTGTTCCCCTCTATGTGTCCATGTGTCCTCATCATTTACCTCCCACTTGTATGTGAGAACATGCAGTATTTGGTTTTCTGTTCCTGTGTTAGTTAATGTGCTAGATAATATGTTCGATAACGGCCTCCAGCTTCATCCATATCCCTGCAAAGGACATGACCTCATTCTTTTTATGGCTGCACAGTATCCCACAGTATATATGTACTACGTTATCTTTATACAGTCTCCCATTTACGGGCATTTGGGCTGATTACACATCTTTACTATTGTGAATAGTGCTGCAATTAACATTTACATGCATGTGTCTTTATGATAGAATTATTTATATTCCTTTGGGTATATACCCAGTGATGGGATTGGTAGGTCAAATGACATTTCTGTCTTTAGGCCAAAAAGTCACATTCTAAGTTCTTTAATGAACTTAGAATTGACAAAGCCTGGAAATTTGATTGGCTATTCAAGACTGTCTATTCCTGGCCCATTTTTTTTTTCCTTCTTAGCGTTAACTGTATTACTTTGTGGAAGCTACTGCTAAACTAAACTGTTTCTTGTCCTCTATTTACATGTCCTGCCTCTGTCCATATAGCACTTTACCTATATTTGCTTATGTATATCTGTATTTCTGCATTTCTCTGCAGTTGGAACTCAATTAGATAAAAAGGCTTAAAACATTAAAGGCTTTTTAATTGTATTACATTTGAAGTAACAGAAGCCACAATAGGATTAAGAGTAGTAGCAATATGTCACCTTTCACAGAGAGTTACTTTTATTTATCCTCAAAAGAAACTAATTTTCTCTATCCCATTGTCACTGTTTACTCTGTGTGTGTGTGTGTGTGTGTGTATGTGTGTATTTTGTTTTGATTAGCCACTACCTATACCATAAATATTATAAAAGTAGTGATCATGTATCTTTTATCTTCTGCTTATCACTGTATACCTATTTCTTAGTACGTGGTGAGTAAGTGCTCAATAAATAACTGTAAAATAAAAATAAATCAATCAGTCTGAGAGAAGAATACCATATTACTTTCAATTCTCTGGTATGGGCAACTGATTCTGACTTTGTTCATGTATTTGGTCCTGTATAATGAAGGTCACAAAATTATTTTTTAGGAAAACACTACTAGTTTGACTAGGCTAGTTATATTTCCTTGAAATTGTCAATTTGTAAAATGCTAGCTATTATTTCACTAGCCACCATTAATTTTAAGGGAGTTCTAGACATTTTTATTATATTTATATCTTCATAAAGTTACTTCTGTCTTTAATACAGTCTTTGCTAATTTCACATATTTGATGATTGCTGGAGAGAAACTGAATAGGCTTGTATAACTTTAGAATTAGTGTTAGGAAAGAGAATAGATTTTGCTAATATTATTTGATGAATATTGACCAACCAAAGTTATATTTCAGGTACTAAATGTTGCTAGCCCTCTTCAAAATTCTTTTTTGTTTCCCCAGTGGTGTTATAAAGCTGCCTACAAAATAGTCTTTCCTATAGTAATGTTCATGGCCACATTCTAGTATTATGCAAGAGTGGAAATTGATGATAGATTTTTTAAAACTGACTTAGGACATACCCAGTGAAATTTAGAAGGATAAGGTGGAAATCCTTTTCAGAAGGCTATACTTCTTGCATAGCTAGTTAAGAGAAAAGATGGACAGAAGAAAAAAAAAGGCAGTCCCTTTGTGAGAAGTAATTGGAAAATGCCTTCTGACCTCACATTAAGTAGATACATGTGATGGAACTATAAAATGATATGATTTATTCTAGGTTTGTTCCCGAGTTGAATTTAGGGCTTAACCTACTGAAATTTAATGAACTCTTCCTAGGCTCAAAGTATTATTGAATAAGCGACTGAATTCCCCCACATAGCTTTTGAGTACAGCTGTGGTGACAGGAAGTGCTTCTAAAACTGTGTCCCTGTTCACATTCTGCCTTGAACTTGAGTAAGTGACTTAACCTCTCTAAACCTTGGAAATCCCAGCAGCGATGCCTGCAATACCGGAATGTTGGAGATTTTAAGGCACGTAAATGGTCCCTGAGTGTGAATGCCCACAGTCCAGAGCACCTGACTCCTGACCAGTGCTCACTACTGTTATTTAAGGGAATGCCTAACTAGCAGACAAACTGACGGACAGTTCTTGGGGTTCATACAAGTTCATGCAAGGGGTTCATACAAGTTCATACAAGGGGTTCATACGAGCCTTTTCTGATGACTAGCCTTTATTCTGAAGATTGAAGTATGTGTATACTTACAATATTGAGTTGAGCCCAAGTTGAATAATTGAAGATATTTTGCCTTTCAAATACTAAAGACTATGTTATATATTCTACTTTAATACTCATCTAGTTATATACATTCCAATTTTTAAGTGGTTTAAATCAATCACATACTTGTAAAAGATCAATGTGCCTGAATCCAAGACAGAGATGAAATTTATCTTCCAAAGTTGTATCAGTCACTTACTATATAACACATTAAATGTTTGTCAAAGGCAAATATTGAGGATATTCTATTTTTGCAATTTGATTTAGATTTCAGGAAGCTTGTCTGAGCAGATCATTTTAAAATTTCTCTTTTGAATTTTTATATTACTCTCTTATTTTAGAAAAAAAATTTTGAGGTCAGACTTGTCTAACTTAACATCTGAGATTTTTGACAATAATTTTAGTACACCGGCTTACATATATATTGGTTGAAATAATTTCTACTTTTAAGGACAATGTGTGTGGATCTAAATTGGTATTCTATTAATTCTCTGCATCTTATATTTTTTTCCTCAAATGTAGGTCATGGGAATAGTCCTCTACTTTATGTTTAGATTGCTGCTTGATCACTTATTTCTTTTTTTAGGATTTTAAAGCCTTTTTACAGTTTCCCTCCTACTGTTTTGTTTGGCAAAGCCTTTCTAACTCAAACAGCTAAAATAAGAGTTCCACAGTAGCAGGGTGCCATATAAAACAGGATCCCACACCTATAACCTGAATGGCTAGAGATGATAAAATACCTGTCATTAAAAAATACATGTTCTTTACAACTTATCTGGAAAAAGCTTT